CTAGCTGCCGCATCTGCAGGCATCTGCAGCATCTGGTGCAGCAGATGTAGCAGCAGCAGCAGCTGCAGCAGTTGCAACATGTGCGGCATGTGCAGCATCTGCTGCAGCAGAGGCAGCATTTTCTGTGGCGGCAAATACCGCATCTGCCGCTGCAGGACTTGGATGGGGGGAAAAAAGAAAACGAAAATAGAACACCGCTGCAGCAAACTGGCTTGTGGCAGGCAAGCGTTCATAGCGACGTTGCTTTTTGATCCTTCGATGTCGGCTCTTCCTATCATTGTGAAGCAGAATTCTATAAAAAAAAAAACGCTGCAGCGGCGGTGTTTGTGTTTTTTGACAAGGCAATCTTTTTTTTTTTTTAATGAATTCAAATTCCGTGAAATTTTATGACGGTGTAAGTTCCGTATAACTCACTTTACAAAGACGTAGAACCCACAGAAAAATTTTCAAAAAAAACAAAAAATATTTACGTCAAGTTCAGTAGGCTCGGACATAAGGGTCCCTGGGCGGACGTTTGGCCTGGTTGTCAGCCCTGACAGTCAGGGGGGTCCTGACGTCCGCCGCCCTGGTAACCTAGCTTAAAAATTCGAAATTCAAATTGACAAAGAGGGTCTCAAAGGCCCGACATCATGGACAGGTGGCCAGACCGGAGGACGATCAAGCAAACTGACACACAGTCAGGAAGGCAGACACAGACAGGCAGGCTGGCAGGCTGGCAGGCTGGCAGGCCGGCTGACAGTCAGACGGCCAGACAGTTAGACAGTCAGTCACATCTCGACTTTCGTCCAGACTGGCATCATCCAGACTGCCAGCCCAACTTTCCGCCAGACTGTCATACAGACTTTCATCCAGACTGTTTATCCAGATCCAAACTGCCGTCGAGACTGTCATCCGGATCACAACTGCCAGTGCCATCCGAACTGTCATCAAGACCGTCATCCAGGCCGTCATCAAGACTCCTATGAGAGTCACGGCCATGCTGGCGCTTCTCAGACATCGTGTCAGTGGTACAGCAACAAGGAACGGCAGCTGGTCTATGGTCGTCGCTCCACTCACCAAATGTACAACTTGAGAATGCATCTTCCTCTAGAGCATGGAAAGGTACACTGCCATCGGATTTGTCTTTTGTAGATGTGGCGAGTGGCGGAGTGAGACCGTATATGTATCTACTTCTTTGACATAGTCGGTGAGTTTGTAAACGTAGCCAGATGGGAATCGAATAGGTGACCTTGGCTATAACAGCAGACGGATGCCTTTACCACTGCAACTGTGACCTGGAGTTCAAAATCGAAGCCATACCGGTCGTGACATTCAGCCCGCCCCCGACACGATGACCAAAGGGACATAATGACCGAATCCGCTAGGAAAGATAACTATCGAAGCCAGCATCTGTCTTCACCCGAATAGAACGCTCGGTAATTATGACCGTATCTGGACTGGAAGTTGGTTCTCCGAGGCTGTGTGGGTAATTAATAATAATAATAATAATAATTATTATTATTATTATTATTTTAATTATTATTATTAGTTTGCAACTTTGCACTGGATCAAATTTTTTACTCCCGTTGTTCTTCCCTGCAGGTTTTCAACACATTCGGGGAACTTAGCACTGCAGCATTGCTTCTTCGGTACGGCTTCACGGGGCCGAACAACCCGTTTGATATCGTCAACGTTGACTTATCGATGGTGGAGAGAGCTTGCTGCAAGTTTTGGTCCGCAGAACATGTCACGTCTTGCACCACTTTGTGGCAGAAGATGGGATTCTCACCGTGCGAATCGGATGGAGTGGGGTACTTTGAGATTGAAGCCGATGGCAAACCGCAAATTGAACTGCTAGTCCTGCTTCTGCTCTGCTGTCTCTCGGAGCAAGGCTGCGCAAAACTGCGAGCCGGATTCCGAACAGAGATGAAGAAAGGAGTCAAAGTGGAAATCGGGGAGCTGTGTCGTGCGATTGGGTGCATGGACGGTGACCAAGTCTTGCAGCTCGCAAGAGTCGCAAGGAAAGGGGAGCAGAAGGAAGCTGCTATCGAATCGGAGGCCCTCGAACATGTTTCAAGAGTGAAAAGGTCGAAGATTGTAGAGGTTGCAGACCATGACGATGCTGCTGCTGATGATGATGATGCTGATGATGATGATGCTGATGATGATGATGATGACAGTCTTCTTCTGTGCAAGTCAGCAGAGGGTGCAAGCAGCAGCAGGAGGGACAAGGAACTGGAGGAGAGGCAGTCCGACAAGATAGGAAGGACCGCCAATGGCGGCCTGCGTCGAGAGGAGGACGGAACGCATTCTCATGCGAAGTCGGCGGCAAGCGAAGTACATAGAAGCCAGGCAGCAGTAGAGATCAACCGCCAAGAAGCAGAGACTCGCGAAGAATGCGACGTTCGCGGTCGCAGTACTGCCCCCGATGAACACGATTCTGACTTGCACGCCTGCTTGCATGGCAGCCTCTGCGATCCTGAGGTCACGGTACACGGTTGGGTGACACGAGGCTTCGCGGGAACCGTCTTGGCAGCCATCTTAGAGGAGAGGAATGGGATGTATCCGACGGCGTCGGTGATCGAAGACAAGCAGCAGATGCTGGACCTGGAAAAGACGGAAAACCTGCAGCCGAACGGGTCAACAGCGGACTCGATGAAGAGTGTAAACTACCATAATGACGAGGCCATAAGGCGGCAAATGAGGCGGTTCAACGCCCTTTTATTGAGGATAAGCGAACGTGAAATATTGGCCAAATGTCAGGAAAGGTTCTGTGCTCGTGTGAAAATCGATGACGATGGAAAATGTAATAAGAAGCGAATGAGAGATGACGACGGGGCTTTTCATTGTTATGTCGTTTTCCATGATACCTCCCTCTGTCCCCTTTCTTCCAAGTGGCAGGATAGTGTGTGCCATGTGATACTGCGCATTCTCATCTGCAGCTGCTGTTTGTTTCAGTGCTTCATTTACTTTGCTGCTGTTCATTTTGTGCACGTCTTTTTTATTTTTCTCCTAAAAGAAAAAAGAGAACAAAAAGGCTGGCAGTGCCAGGCCAAACGTTTGGGACCGTTTCCCAAATTGTGTTGTGTCTCATCCTCAAATCACCGGTTGTCAAAAAAAAAAAAAAAAAAAAAAAAAAAAAAAAAAAAAAAAAA